GGCCGTGCCCCTGCTGGGCCAGCGCTCTTCCCAGTGTCTTTACCTCTAGGGCATTTTATTCGTGTGCAGTGAACCAGAAACTCATGCTCTTTGCAGGAGGTGACTGTTCATCTCCCCAGGGTCTTCTCTCAGTTTTAGTAACATCTACTTTTAACATGTATTTTTTCCTGAAATGACATACATGACAACTTGTAAACATCACCTAAAATCCCACCAATCCAGCAAAGTTTGATTTGCTTTTTTTTCAGGTGTCTTACATGTGCATACTTAATCTTCACATGATGGAAATCATAGCAGGAACCAGGTTTAAATTTGTTTTGAGAGGGTGAAATGGTTCAACATTATCCCATCATCTCATCCATGATATTGATCATGATTGCATCATAGTTTACCTAACCCTGAAGATTACTTGAATTTTAGGCATTTCCTGTTTTACACTATCAGTGAAATTAAACATTGTCCTTATTTTTCTCGTGGATTAGTCTCTCTTGTACTGATTTCTCAGGAGTGGAGTTAATGAATCAAAGAACATGAACATTTCTTAGCTCTTCATCCTTGTGGGTAAATGACCTTTCAAGAGATTTGTGCTAACACCCTCACTAAACACTCCTTCATCTGTTGACGTTCTTCTAGGTTACGGAGGAGACAAGCCTCATCCTGCAGACCCTGGGGTACACCTGCACGTGTCGGGGGATAATCAACGTGAAGGGAAAGGGGGAACTGAAGACGTACTTTGTGAACACGGAGATGTCAAGGTCCCTTTCCCAGAGCAACTTGGCCTCCTGAAGAGTCGTCTACATTTTGGCAAGAAGACTGTGTTTTTAGGAAGGTACAACGCACTTTCTGACTGCCACTTCTGTCCCTCGTGTTTGATGTGCGTGCTCTGTTCTGTCCCCGGAGCCTCTGCAGACTCGTCCCTGTGCCCGGAGGCTCACCGTTTGGTGTGCCAAGATCGCTCTGCCACTTGCACTGTGCTTACTTGGAAGGAAGAGGAAAAGGAGTGTGTGACGTAGAAGAGAAAAACATTCAAAGAACTAACATGGATGATGGAGGTGAAACAAATACAAATTCTTAAGGCAATAAAACGGGGGGTGTGTATTATCTTCTGGTGCATGTTCTTTTCTGGAAAATACGGTAGCTCGCCAACCGCATCCGCTAGTCTCATATTACAACACATAGTATTTGTGACTAAGTTGATCCTAAGTCACCCCACATGGAAGTCGACTGTGTCCACCCATGTGTCTGTGCCAGTGGCTGTCCACGGCCCGTGGGGAGCCGTGGCTGTCACCTTGCTCTGTTGTGCCAGCAGCACGTAGTCATCCATCTCCACAATTAGTTCTCACAACCTAGGCCCCGTTTTGTACCAAACGCGTCTGATGTTTTGATGCCATTGTCTTTTGTAAAGTTAATTCATTAAAAGTTTTATGTACTTTGGTTTATAGTGTCCTATATCCCCCCACCCCTCCCACACACACATCCTTCTTCTTTCTCTGGTTTGCTCCAGAATGAAAGTTTATTTTCCATTTATTCCCTGGTTTGGAAAATGCTCTCCACAGGCCAGGATTGGGATACCCTTGAGTCGTTTAGATCAGGACGTCTGCAATGCAGATAATTGATTATGCAGCTCCCTGGGAAAAGAGGAAGCATGCTCCGTGTGTTCTGGGGTCTGCTTTTCATTTTGGCATCTGTAGAGAGCATTTTCGGCAAAAATATTTTAATAGCAAAAAGATTCTGTGCTAACATCACCCCTCTGTCCACACACTCCGGCCTACTGACCGCACCGTTTGGCAGTCCATCAGGCACAGGCTGCAGAGAACGATCTGGAACTGGCTGTGTGAGTTTGCATCACAACAGCTTGAACGAGCCGCGAGGAGCTGCCAGGCCCCACAAGCCACCTCTGATATCGGAGAAGGCACAGAGCCTTGAAGATGGAAGTCCAGGCAAATGTGGTTGTAGTAAATCCAACTAAAGTTTTGGGGGCTTTCTTCACATAAAGAAGTCACGCCCTGCCAAAGGGTGAAACACAGCGCAGTCGGGTGTAGTCTAACATTGAAGAGCAAACCTGCACATGCCAGCCTGGCTGGCAAACCTGAGAGGGAGAGGACCCCGGGATCTATTAGGAAGCAGCCCTTTCCTGGGAGCAGGGGCTTGAAGATGGAGCCCTCGGTTTGACTGCTGACTCCGATGTTACTGTGCGGCTCTGAGCACATCTTTCAGTTTCTCTGAGGAGTATTTTCCTTGTGGGGAGTTCACAGGATCGGGGTGGTTGAATGAGCTAATGACTGAGCCCTCCTGGCAGGTGTGGCTCACTCATGCCAGCACACTCGCAGTTAAATGTGCTCACGGACACGAACAACTGTTCTTCATCATCGAAGGAAGTGGGACGGCAGCACGGCTTATTCAATTGTCTGCCTTGATCAGGAAGTTCTGGATCCCGTAATTGCAACTCAGCCTTGGCTTTGAAACACCTAATTCTCTAAAAAAGTGACTGAAAGAAGAAACAGAGCATGAGGGCATGTCTTGTCACTCTAAACAAACTCTGGACTAGGGTGCCCTAGGGTTTCAGTGACTTCCATCTGGCAAGTGACACACTTGTGACAATGCCCAGCACCTTGTGATTCTTCCTCAGAGCATAAGCGCCCATCCCCAGGCACTTTGTTACCTGCCCTTCGTAGGCACCCACAGCTGGGAGACTCACCAAGCACTCTTAAATGTGCTCACCCCGTGCGCTGACTTGCTTTTACCCAAAGCTGTGTCACCAATCTTTTTTGTTGTTGTTGTTCAGATAGAGTGGGAGGGGGGGAGAGAGAGGGGGAGAGAGAGAGAGAGAGAGAGAGAGAGAGAAACATCGACGTGAAAGGGGCACATCGAGTGGCTGCCACCCACACAACCCAACAAGGGCCGGGGACAAACTGCAACCAAGGTACGTGACCTTAGCGGGATCCGAACCTGGGTCTGTCTGGCCCACAGGTCGATACTCTAACCACTGAGCCAAACCGTCCAGGGCTGTATCACCAATCTTAACAAACAATAGACTTTAAAGCAATCAGTCATTATCAGAGTTCACCTTGCAAAGGCCTGTATAAACATGGGTCTCTCAAAGCATGGTCCCCAACCAGCAACATCAGCATCACCTGGAAACTTGTTGGAAATGCAGATTCTCAGGTTCTGACCCAGACCTGCCAGTTCTTAAATCCACTGCCTGTTTCGGACACCAGGTTCTCCAGGTGATTCTGATTCCCAATGCAGCCTGAGACCCCGTGCATTTTACAAACAGGTCCAGGGGTGTTTTCCAGGCTTCCCAGGTGAGCCAGCGACTAAGACTGGACTAGGATGGAAAACTGCCAGTTCCCTGAAATCTGAAAGTGTGGCTCCTGGTCAAAGCACCTTCATCTGGCAACTACAAACCTTGCTGTGAGCAAACCATGCAAACGAGAACCTGCAGTGCATGCCCATCAGCCCACTGGCCTTGCACCTTCAGCACAAGGTAAGACTCTCCTCAAAGCCCTCAACCTCTCACAGTAGGAAGCCCTCTCCTAAAAACACCTCCACTCTGTGCCCTTAAAACTGTAGTGCTTTTAATCCATCTATTTAGAAAGGTCTGCTTTGTTGCAAATCATCCCTGGTATTCTTTTTACTAAAGACAGCAGCCACTCTGCTTTCAAAAAACATTGACTGAGGGTGGAAGTGTGATCAATGAAATGGATTCTTTTACTACATGTTTCTCTTTGGTAGGACGACTAATGGGCATTTGCGGATTGGCTTTAAGTTGTAAAAGTCGAGATGCCAGGAACAGACATTTTTATCTAACAAAAGTGAGATCTTTCGAAACCTCACCCGATTCAAGCCCTGCTTTGTAAAAGTAGCAGAAAGTTCCGGGAGTAGGATCTGACTTAAATTAACTGAAAATCATTTAGCTTGCCATTAATTTATGGCAGTTACTTTCAGATGAAAGCGTTTCTGAGATGCCTTGTCTTTCTAGGTAATCAAAACAGAAGACGAGTAATTTTTTTAAATTTCCATAACCCGAACTTTATATATTTTCTATTATGTTATTATAAATATAGTTTAATGCACCCAAAGGCATTCCAAATAAACCATTGTTATTTGTTTGGGAAAAATAAAAGGCACCTACTGTGAAGAAAAAAAATTCTCAAGAGAATAAAGAAATATTTAGGAGTTGCTTGGCCTTGAAATTGCCAGAACTTAGTGTCATGTGTCCTTAGAGAATCAAAATAATAAAACCAGCAATAAAGGAACCAACATTGAAATTCATTGGATCACCTGCTCATTAACTTCTAAGCCGTGGGAAATTTAATCACAATAAATAAGGGTTGATTTCCTCCAAGGGATCCATTCATTAAACATACAGCCAATATCTTAATACTTGAATAAGTTCCAAATTATCTGCAAAACAAACATTTCCACTTTCGGTAAAAAGCAGCTGCTTCTAAAAAGAAAGCTGTTCAAAGGAACAATCACAGCCCCTGTGGTGCTTGCCTTCTGGCCACACTGCAGTGGCTCACGGACCCCACACCAGCTCTTCAAGCTGGACTCCCCCTGGGACGCTGGGCAGATGAGGCCTCAAACAGGTGAAATCATTTCCCCTGCACCATGCAGCTAGAACACGAGAAGTCAGAATGGTACCCGTCTGCTGAACACTGAAGTCCCGCCTCTTCCTGTGACCTTTGACTGCTTCTCCACCGAGGCCACCCATTCCTACTAGGGCATTGGTCCTCCATTGTGCAAAATTCTGTTCATGGTGGTTCAGACCTCTGGGGGAAAGTGTGTATACAGAGTTCAGTTATGCCAAAAGGCAACTTCACTGCACCTCCTCTTGGAGAAAGGGAAACGTAGTGTTAGGCAGTAGTGGCTCCTTTAACTGCTAAGAAAAGGAACTGCACACAGCTCCCACGAGCGCCTCCCCCAGAACACCGTGAACTAAAGTCAACCCAACCACAATCAAGAGAGAATAAAGTTTTCATTTTATTCAGGTGCTCCCAGTGGATCAGCCTCTAGCATCATTTCATCTGAAATAACGACATGAAAACCGCCACACTAGATGTTCACCTTAAGCATTACAGGTGTTTGGCCAGGTTCTTCACCAAGGCAACCTGAGGGAACGGGGCTACCATCCTTCCCACTGTCGAGGCCCAAGAGGGGCATCGGGCCGGCTCCTAGAGTCTATGAAAGGGAAATAAGGCCCATGTGCCACCCATCCGTGAACCTCACTTGCCAGTGCACCCTTCGGGGCACAGGGAGGGCATCAGGCTGGAGAAATGTGCCCAAAGCCCGGATCCTTGAGGCTGGGGATGTCATTCTTCCTGTAGAAGTCGGCCTTCAAATGGTTGGCACGGCCGTGGTCCCGGTTCAGAGGCTCCACTGGCTGGTGGATGCGCTTCCCGTAGACAGACGACATCAGCACTCCAATGGGCCTCTCCTGCTCCTGTCCGGGCATCAGGACATTCAGGTCAGCACATGCCCACTTCATCAGCAGAGCTCACCCATCCCTCAGCCTGGGATCTGGAAGCAGCTTCTGCCTGAGTCACCTACACATTTGCATCCTATCTCCCCCTGGGCTTCTTGGGGGCTACTCCACACTGACTCCAGGGGAACCTCTTAACTATGTCAGCCCCTGCCCCTCTGCTCACAGCCCTCTGGGGTCCTCAGGTCCTTCAGAGGAAAGGGCAAAGGTTTGAACTGGGGGCCAGGTACCCTGTGACCTCAGGTTCATGATCTTCCTCCCTCTCCACCCTTCTCCCTGCCGCCTTTCTTTTCTCTTTTCCCAGGTGCACATCTTCCCCAGCCCCTTCCTCATCTCCCTGGCACCCCTCCCCTCATCTCCCTGGGACCCCTCATCTCCCTGGGACCCCTCATCTCCACAGCCCCCTCATCTCCCTGGGACCCCTCATCTCCACAGCCCCCCTCATCTCCCTGGGACCCCTCATCTCCACAGCCCCCCTCATCTCCCTGGGACCCCTCTCATCTTCCGAGCGCCACCTGTAATACTTTCATCTTCCTCATCCTCTTAAAAGGTTTTATTTCCCCACATGCCACTTATTACTACCTGGACTCAGTTCATTACTTGCTTGGCTTTTATTGTGTCTCCTCATGGGAATGGCAGGTCTAGGAGCCAGACACTTCTGCCTTAGTCTCTGTGTGCTGAGCAGAACATGGAGGTGCTCAACATCTATGACCGGGGCATGTTCTCATGGGAGAAAAGCTCTGACTTCTACCAACTCGGAATGAAGTAACATCCACAAAAACGACAGGAACCATGTTAATGTTCGTGACCTATGTGGTAATACCTCACAGTCCCTCCGTCACTTAATTTCCCATTAAAATAATGAGTTCCATTGAAAGTGACATGGGTGGCATGCTTAAACAGTAACAGTCACAGGCAAAAATCCAATGGTGTGGATAGAAATCCTAGTGAAAGCTTTTGTGTTCTGATTTCTGTAAAGCGTATAAAAGATTATGGTATTAACCAGCACCCAGCTTTTAATGACCATACTGTCCTCAGATCTGAATGTTTAGGCACAGTGTCCGAGTGTGGAAAGGCAGCAGGGGGTCCAGCCCAGCAGAGATGGGCCTGACCCTCTTCCCCCTGTACTGCTGTGCTCCTGACCTCCTCACCCTGGGGGTTTGTTTCCTCTGTCGGTCACCCACCTGTGCAGCTGGCAACAAGCAGAGCCTCCCTTTCTGAAAATTGTGAAGATGCAGAGGAGGCACTGTGCTACCTGCAGTGGCCTGGTAATGAACTTGGGAGACAGATATATCCTTGCCTGTGTGGTTTCATCTCTGGAAGCCCAGTGACCCCAGAACTATGACAGCCTGGACTCAGCGGTTAAGCAAAACCCTATTTTTATCTGCAGAAAGAACTGCTTGGTTTTGCTTCCATTAAATTATTAAATTCCACAGAACGAAACAACAGCCATCAAAATTAATACACAGCAACGTGACAGAACAGAGTGAACTATGGCGGTTGCATACTCTTAGCTTCTTGTCACAGGAAAATGGAGGAGAACAGCACAAAGGAGAGCCACAGACACAAACTGGACACAATGTTAAAGAAATGCGCATGCACAGTAATCTATCAATGCCTAGTAATATCCCGTCTCAGTATTACCTCCTCGTTAACATGGAGTCCCAGGCTTTTTGCATGTTCTCTGTCATCTCGATGCAATTTCTGATTATATCCTAGGTTCTTCTTAAAAATGCAGTCATAGAGGGAAATGACTCCTGCCTGAGAATAAAAAGAGAAAAAAAGCTGAAGGTTTATTCGTGGGTTCGGCCTCTGAGGCATTATGGAGTTCGGAAGAAAACATTCCCTCTGATGGAGAAACAGGGTGTCCCCACTACACTGAGGGATCCTAGGGAAGGTCACCCATGAGCAGGAGCAGTGTCCAGACCAGGGAGGCCATGCCCAGCCAGCCATAGCAGGTTGCTGAGAGGCTGTGGGGCACGGATGCTTCCATGGGCACTTGTCCCCCACATTTTATAGATCCTTCCTTCCCAGAAATGGTCTCCTCACTCACTCTGACTCCATCTCCCTCCTTCCCAGACATGCTCCTCTCACTCACTCTGACTCTTTCACTAGAGTTCAAACCTTAAAATAATAATAAGCCACTTAATACGTTTTATCTTGGGAAATGGGTGCATTTAGGGAGAACATCTGCGGTGTGCAAGAGAGAAGCCTGGTCCCTGAGACTGAACTCGTTGGTGGGAGCTGCACCTGGGGCCTGAGGCATCCTCTTCTGCATCCTGAGAATCCTGGGACAAAGTGGAGGTGACCCGGCAGCCTCAGTTCCTGCCATGCGCACGCAGGTAGGAGAGACAACCCCACCAGAGAAGGGGCAGCACTGTCAGCAGGGGAAACAAAGCCTCCAAGGACTGCCTGGCTATGCCACCCATGCCTGACCTTCCTGAACTGAGGTTCTGGAATTTGTCCTTGAGGGTGACTCCGAGGAGGGGAGAATGGACTCAAGGAGAAGGCAATCACTGTTAGCCGACTGAGAAAGGAAACATTACTTCATTTTGTTCCCCAAGCTGGAGAAACACACTGTGATATGCAGGTTTACAGAATAATGCCTCTTCCTTTTCATTCTCATCAGGTCTCCTAAAACACTCTAAAAGTATTATCTAAAAGCAATGCCTGGCTCACAGCGCCAGGATTAGTAGCCTACTAAATCTGTGAAAAGTCTTTATTTGGAATCTCACGGCTAATGGTGTGATCAGAATTTCTCTTTCTCCTTTGTGGGGATTTTGCATATTCAGAACTTTTCAGAGTAAAAACAAAAATTTTCTATTATTGAAAAATACAGAAAAAAATCATCGCTAAGCAGGCAGCCTCTTAGCAATGTGACTGTCCATTTTCAACACCTAATCAAACTGAAAATCTGTCTTTGCTGGGTTTTATTCCTCTTTCTTTTTAATCTTTCATTCCTTTGTGATTTGAAGCAAAATAATATTAATAAAACCCAATCTGCATTTAGATGCTATCAGAAAACAGAGCTTCTTGGTTTACTCATGTTTTTTCTATTAAAATCGCTCGAGATTTCCTCTATTTCACACATGACATTACTTTAAAAAACAAGCAAACAAAAACAGAGGACATTTATTTTTTCTCTCCTGATCTGCTTCTGTCCTTGGGAGTCTACCAGTACATGAAGCTTGATGAGGATACTGTCAAAATTTTGTATCTGATGCCCAGCTGGTGTGGCTCAGTGGACTGAGTGTCTTCCCATGGACTAAGAGGTCAGGGTTCGATTCCAGGTCAGGGTACAGGTCCAAGTTTCAGGCTCAATCCCCATTGGAGGGTGTGGAGGCAGCCGATTGATGTTTCTCTCTAACACTGACGTTTCTCTCTCTCCCTTTCTCTCTAAGAAAATCAATCAAAATGTATTTTTTAAAAATTTTATATCTGAGAAGGTCTGTAGCTTGTCAAGGACATAATATTAGCTTTAAAAAAAAAGGCAATGTTCAACTATTCTCTTTGGTTTGTCTGCAGCAAAGATTCTCTTTCCTCTCTGCTGCATTAAGATCATAAGTTTTGGAAATTTTGATAACGTCTCCAATCATCTGAATATTTTATCAATTGCATAACCACCGCGTCATCAGCACTCTTGGGAAGGTATTCTTACTGCTTTAAATCCACCTGTTGCAGGCAGTGCCTGCCCAGAGCAGAGTGCTGGGACTTGTTGCCTTTACCTTTGAGTTGAAGTCAGCAAAGTCCCCTCAGACACTGTGTCTGCTTCACATTGGAGGCATGCTCTGAGTCAGAGTTCTCCTTGGTCTGTCTGCCCAACTTGTCGCCAAGAGGGGACTCTTTGATGGTGGAGCCAGTTTTATTTCCTCTTCCATGGATAAAAGCTCCCCTACCTTCCAGCAATTCACATCACAGGAAGAAAGGGCCATCCAAGGGACTGGGCTGACACTCGTATCTAATCTTACATGTTCCTCTTGCTCAGCTTTATTGGGGAAAATGCTGTTTCTTTTCTTGTGTCATTTGCCTACTGTACTCCTTAAAAGGGGATGATTTTGAAAAAGGAGAAAATTTATTACAATATTAAATGAGATGAGCAAACTGTATACATAGTTTTGTGATCTTCCATGTGTGAACATGTTCTCATAAAACCAAGTTAGACACATGTCACCACATTCATATTCACACAGTGGAAAGACATGCACCATGTGCTCACACGGTGGTTATGACTGGTAGGAACACTTATTTTCTACTCCTGGTGTTTCCTGGCATGAGGAAGGACTTCCACTAGAGAGACCTGAATGGCCTATTCCCTCACTCCTCCCTTCCCCTTCCTAGGATCTACCTCCCCAGGAGGAAGACTTTCAGGACCATTCCTCAGGTCTTAAACTGGTCACTGAACTGTGAAAATACAGCTAACCCAGACACAAGAGAAGCACCATAGGCAACTCCCAATTTTGAGTCCTGAGGAGGGGAGCAAGGCCAAGGGTAACCAAACAGTAGATTATTCAGAAAGAAACCTCTGTGTCGTCTAAGGGGGTAATTTTATAAATCAGTGACTTGTCTCTTTGCTTTAAAAATTTTGCATTTCATTTATTCATTCCTCATTTATTCATGTAGCCAGTCTGGTATTCATAAAGCACCAACTATGAGACAGGTACTGTTTGGTGTGCTGAGGATAAAAATAATCCCTGCCCTTGTGAGTTCATATTTTAATGGGGAAAAATAACAAGATAAGTAAAATATTTACTAGAATAGATACTAATAGGTGTAAAAGGGGGAAAGGCCTGGAGGGGGAAAGGAAGTGTATGGGGGGACAGTTATGATTTCATTTGCTAGCACGTATTTTGATTGGAAGACTCATGTGGGTACAAGAGTCTGCAGGATACCAAACATAAACTTGCCTAGATTTTAACAGGCAAATCAGCAGAAGAACTGGACCTCCCCTGTCCTAGGAGGTGGCCAAGGGTGTGTGGCAGATGTGCTTGGTGCCTAAGGGGAGAGGCTCCACATGGGGAGGGAGGCTCAGGGGAGCTCTTATTGCACACCTCCTGTATACTGGACACTGGCACAGGCCCCCCAGATTCCCTTCTGCACCTCTGGACAGTCAGCACACATTGTTATGTTTGCTAAGTGCTTGGCTGCATTTGAGAAGGGATATTCAGTCACAGGAGGGGAAACTGTCAGCCCTTGGCCTCTGTATCCACCACACACCTTGAAAGAAAGTTGGCTAATCTTACCAAAGCTAAATTGGGGGCTTCCTAAGTAAAGCTTCACTCAAAACAGAGCTACCCACAATTCACCGTAGCATGAGGAAAAAGCATATTCTGAAACCACCCAGAATTTTTTTTTTAGTGTAGTCTTTAGACTGAAAAATTTAATCAAACCCTTCATTCTCCTTTGACTTAGCTTTTCCATTTCAGGAGCAGAAATGTTGCACAAGGCAGAAATAAAAGTAATTTAAAAACAACATTGAAATAAATTTGCTTTGCTGCCCCTGGAACAACATTTTATAGGACAGGCCCTTGCAGCTAGAGCCCCCTAGAGAGCAGGACAAGGTTGATGGCATTGTAGTTGGCAGCTTGAGATGACAAATTTGTCTTAAGAACCAGGGCATTACTAGGGCTTTATGTACGCGTGCTGCATTCACAGAGCCTTACCTTTTGGCTCTCTATGCCTGAGGTTATTAGAGCCACCAGATCGACATTCAGATTACCTGCCTCAGACAGTGGACAAGGGTTGGGGAACCAACCCTCAGTGAAAGAAAACTCTAATAATCATTAGCAAAAACAAACAGCAATTTGAAAAGCTCTACGTACCCTGGGCTTACTATAGGCTACTGTATACCATTAATTAAATTTGTTCTCATAAGAACTCCAGGCATCTGGTACTGTTTGATCCCTATTTCATAGATGGGCAAAGTGAGACAGAGCGTTTGTGATGTGGGCAATCCACACAGCTAGTAACATGAAGCCAACATTTCAATCCAGGACTCCTTGGTCAAGCCACCAACTTATCATTAAGCATGTCACATGCTAACTGATTTAAGAGCTCACTCTGCAGTGTTTTTTCTCAGCTTTGAGTGGGGCCTGGAATTATTTACAATGACTATAGGGGCAGCTAAGTACCCCACAACCTGTGATACAGTCCACTCTCTTTAGTCCAATTGATCTCAAGACCAGAGAATTAGCTTCCAGAGTCCTGCGGCTAATTAAATGCCGATCCAGATAATCCCCAGGATTATTTGATTTAGGTGTTAATATTGCTGCTGTACCATTTTCTTCATGTGACACTAAAGGTCTCAGGACTTGAATTTGTCTATGCCCCAGTTATCACATTGAATTTTTTTCCCTTAAAATCTACTTTGCATTACTTTGCTCTAAGGCCTACCCCGATCTCCCAGAGGCAGTACTAAATCAGAGTAGGGCTGGCAAACATTTTCTGAAAAGGGACAGATAGTCACTGTTTTAGGCTTTCAGGTCACATGGGCTCTGTGGATACCACTCAACTCTGTGTGGTAGCCATAGACCTTACTAAACCAATGGACCTGTTGCTCTGTTCTAATAAAACTTTATTAAAATGGGCAGCAGGCCATATTTGGCCCAGAGGTCTTCATGTGCTACCCCTACATTAGAGGGGCACATTCTTAACCACTCCTAATCTCCTTACAAGTACAGAGCCCCAGTCACCTAAAACCTCGGGTGTCTTTCTGCCCATTAGTTGATTCTGCCCCAGAAAGGTGGAGCCACATATCAGATTGGTGAAGTTAAGAAAGAAAAAACTGGGCCTGCCAGACTCAACTCTGCCCCTTTCCCCCTGGTAGTGCCTGGCCCACAGAAGGTGGGGGTTCTGCTTGGCCTTTTCTGGGGCTCACAGCTGTGGTGGCTGGGTAGGTAAATCCACCTGATTCTGAGCCTCGTGTCCTCAAACCCATTTGCCCAGAGTCTCTAGTAGTATCCTGCAACATGGCTTTTATCTCTGATAAACAGGTGTCCTGGTGCCCAGCTGCTTAGTCTTTAAACTGTTCCAGTGGGGGACATGCAGGAGATGGCCAGTCGATGAGCAAGAACATCGATTGGCCACCTCCTGGATGTCCCCCACTGGGGATCTGGCCCACGACCTGGGCATGTGCCCTGACCAGGAATCAAACTGGCGACCTCTTGGTGCATGGGTCGACACTCAACCAGTGAGCCACATCGGCTGGGCATGAAGGTGGTATATAATAAAACCCCTCAAAGATACACATAAAATGGTGTATTATAAATTTTTTCATATGTCAAGAAGCCAAAATTTATATTCTTCCAATAAAACAATATGGACCAACTTAAAACATCAAGATTTTGCTTTTTGATTGGTTCTCTCATACTGCATTAATGCTATTCTTGAGTCATAAATTAATTGGCAATGATACAGGTTTTGCATACTTAGAATGTAAAATTCATTTAATAAATTATTTACAAGTAAAAATTCTTTCAAGACATATATCTCATTGGAGAAAAATTATGAGGTCCACAGTGGCAATGAGGTTGGGAATTATTGCTCTAAACTGCCCTCCTGTCTCAGTACCTGGTGGATAGATAGTCAAGCCTAGGAGAGTCATTAAACGGCATTGCAAAGACAGATACACAGACATGTCCTCTTTCTTGTCGTCATTTGTCCTTCATATTGCTCAAAGCCAAGCAGAGAGGTGCTACCAGATACAAGAGATCCTCCCAGCTGAAGTTTATGTGTTAGTTTGCTCAGGCTGCCAAAAGAAGTACCCAGATAGGGGTGGCTTAACAACAGAAATGTATTGTGTCACAGTTCTGGTGGCTAGAATGCTGAAATGAATGTGTTGGCAGGGTTGGTTCCTTCTGAGGCTGGGATACTTTTGTAGAAGGCTGTCTTCTCTCCATCTATTCACGTCATCTTCCCTCTGTGCATCTGTCTGTGTGTCCAGGTTTCTTTTCATAAGGATACAAGTCATACAGAATTAGGCCCATTCTAATGATCTTACTTTATTTTGATTGCCTGTCTCCAAATAAGGTCATATTCTGAGGTGCTGGGAATTAGGACTAACAAGAATTTTAGGGGAATACAATTCAACTCATAACAATTGTCTAAACTAGAAACTATCATTTGTTTATAGGGCTAAGCTCCTTTACAATGTAAATTCTGTTTGTAAGGGTAAGTTCCTAACAACAAGAGTTCTCTTACATTTCAGGTGTGGCAAGTACTCAAGTGTGTGCTGGTCTGATCCGAATGACGATTCATTTGTGCTCCATGGATTGTGGGTGGGAAGGAGAAGAGGAAGAACATTTTGTGGGAACACCTTGTACATCCTGAGGGAAAGCCCTCCTTCCTCCCAGGCACTGGTTAACCCTCTCCAGGCCACTCATTATCACTGCTGGCTTAGTGTCCCCAACTAATGTGCCTTTTTAATAATAATGCTCCTGCACCCTGCGCTGCAAGACATCAGAGACATTTAGGAAAACAGCTGAAACTGGAACAAGTTCTGATTTTTTTCATTTTCTTTGGCCTCTCTTTCCCCTTCGGCTACTTGGTGGCCATAGAAGACCCACAGGCCCTTCCCTTCACGTGCACGTGCCTGGTGGGGCCAGGCCAGAAACTACTGAGCGCTCCCAGCCCTGCTCTCCCTGCAGGCAGGCAGCTGTTCAGCCCTGCCTCATTGTCTTCAGTTTGCAGGCGGGCTTCTAGAAGGGCTTCCGAGCCTCGGCCCTGCGGGGCAGTCACTGCGGGAGGACTTCAGGCAGTGGCTGTACCCTGGCAACCTGGGCCTAAGGCAGACAGACCCCTGAGAGGGCCATGCCCCTGCCCTCTGGGCAGCCCCAGCGACGGGGGACCCTCCTCCGGATCCTGGGGGGAGAGTCACCTGGAGGCAGTAGTTTTAGAAGCCCAGCGGCCCTCCCTCCCTTCCCTGAAGAGGAATCGGTTCTAACTCACCTCAAATGGCTCCAAAACCCCGCCTGAACCCCCACCCCTATTCCTCACGCCTTGTTCCCCAACCCCTGGTCCCAGGTGAGCATAACCCACACCGGGCTCCACCGCTGCCCGTCCTCTCTGGGAAGGGGTGGAGTCTACCTAACTCTGGTGGCCTTGGTGGCTGAACTCTCGGTCCACCCAGCACCGGTCCCGCCTCTGTGCAGACCGACCCGCAGAGTCCCAAGCCTGAACTGCAGCACCGCCCCCAGGCCTCCGGGCACCGCGGCCAGGTCCCCATTCCCTCGGGTCCGGCCCTGACCGCCCTGTCCCGGCCCCTCCCGGGTCCCCGCCCCGCCGCGCACCTTGCTCTCGCGGTAGTAATAGCTGTGCTCCTTCGGGTCCTGGCGCCGCGGCGGGACGTAGCTGAAGGCCGACTGCGCCGAAATGGGCGGCGGCCGGGGCCTGCCCCGCAGCGTGGCGGCGGTGATCTCCTCCTCCTCGTCGTCCTCCATGCCGCCCGCGTCCAGCGCCCCGAGGCCGCCGCTCTCGGTCTCGCCCGCTGGGAGCCCAGTCCCAGGCCGCCGCTCTCAGGCTGCCGGGTGCTCTGGTTTGGCGGTCGCCTGGCAACCACGCTGCGCCTCGCGGTTGGTCCGCGGGGCGGGGCCGGGAGGGGCGGGGCCGAGCAGATCCTTTCCTCTCCCTTCCCGCCCCTCCGCCTCAGCCTGGGTCCTTGCTTGGCTGTGCATTTGGGTGCGGAGCCCCAGCTGCTAAAGCGGCTACGTCGGGTAAGAGACGCCTAGGGGCTCAGCACTTTCCAACCTGCTCACCTGATCCCGCGCAGGCTGAGTTCGTTCACTCCGAGGCGGTTCGTCGGACAGCTCAGGACCGCGCACCCAGTACGCGCCAGCGCTGGAGATGCAGCCTTGAAACCAGCAGCAGGTCCAAGCAGAACGTGAGAAAGACAAGTGACTTACAGAGTAGCTTTAAGTCTAGAGCAGCGCCCCCCAACGGGAACATAGGGAGAGCCATATTGGTAATGGAAAACTTTCTGGTAACCTCGCTAAGAAGGTAAAAAGACACAGATAAAATTAATTGTAATAATATATTTATTCAACTCTGTAGGTTCAAAACATTTCAGTGTGGCACTAGCCACATTTCAAGTGCTTGCTGTCCACATGTGGCTTTGGCTAGGGCTGGTGGAAAGCTTCCATTAATGAAATCAGCATGACTTAACAAAATCTGGCAAAATTCAGCTGGTAAGCGTGAGCTCAAGCGACCGTCTATGAGCGTGGTTACCTTGTCTATCTGAAAGGTTTAATAGGTTTAATAGGTCTGTTCCCTTGGCTGAAAATTCATTGAGCTGATGGTTAAGAGAGGTAAAGGTATAAACACACATATGTATAACTAGCAGAAGGAGAAATGTGTCTTGTGTATCCAGTAAATTTAAAGGGCATCAATAAATCAGGGTTATGAATGATACTTCTGCAAGCCCAGATAACATGCCTGCACTGGTTTCCAAATCTCCCATCAATGCTGATTGTCAGTGAGAATAATAAATAGAATGACCCTGGCTCCTGAAACGGGACCACTGCCTGTCCTCCAGACCACCTTAACCAGATCATGGGCATGGGCAGTGGTCCATGGCGGGATTAGACAAGCCTTTGCCTTATTCTATTCCTCCTTCCTGGTAAAAATGCATTAATGTTGTCAGCTAATTTAGAAACCCTTTTGGTCATCAGGTTTTTCCTGTATCATTCGATTGATGGCAGTCTTTATGGTTAGTCACCTTAAGCATCAAACTTATGAATCAAGACATATACATGTAATTTGGTTTTGTTCACCTTATTGATTTGAGAATAAAAATGAACACAATTTTATATGATGCTTACAATGAAAATTTTCTGACAACTTCAGCAATGAGCACCACCACCCTTAGACGGGGATGACCCAGGTCTGGGACAGGAAATGGCAAGATGAGCCTGGAACATCCTGTTCTGCCAAGAAATTTTTAAAAACTTGTGTGATGAGGTCAAAAGGATGAAGGGACCTATCTGACGGGTATCCCATTTAAGCATCAAAATGCAGTAATGGATTGAAGCACATTAAATATATAGAATTTCATGAGTTCATAAATATCCTAAGGAAAAATATTTGACTAGAGCACCAACTATTTATTCTAAAAATTAATAGAAGAAAAGAAACATTTATCTTGTTTCTTTCTGTATAAACATTACTTTAGGGTATAAAAGTAGTTGATAGGAGACATTTATTCTTTATAGATCAATACAAGGTAATAAAAGTAGAAGTAATGATAAAATTAGGAAAAAGATGCTAAAAACATTAGGTGGAAGGCTGATGGGAACTCTATAGTGGGTGGATCATGCTGGTAATGCAGAACCCACTGATCAAACTTAATGACTGTCACTAAGAGGGGGACAGCCAGAATTAGGGTATGATGCAAAGAAAATACACAGCACCACCTCCAAAGCATCCTTGTCAAAAAAATTCAAGCTGAATCTAAGCAAGCCTCTGGATCTATCTTTTAGTTTAGCAGGAAATACAGAAGGTAGAGAAATAAGTTAGATAATGCCAACTCAACAATGTGGGACATTTTACAGGGCAATTGATAATTTCTCCAAAAGTAAGAGACAGGAAAACCAGGTGAGGAAGGGATGCATCTATAGACAGAAAAGACTCAAGACTTAAGTGGGATAACAGCTAAAAGTAATATGGACACTTTGTTTGGATCCTGATTCAAACAAACTGACAGTTAAAAAATTATTTTTGAGCCATGGCTGGGCACCAAAATGTTGCCAGTTTGATTCCTGGTCAGGGCGGTGTTTCTCTCTCACATCGATACTTCTCTCTCTCAAATCAATAAAAAATATATTTAAAAAAATATTTTGAGCCTGGCCGGTGTGGCTCAGTGGTTGAGCATCATCCCATGCACCAGGAGGTCATGGGTTCAAATCCCAGTAAGGGCACATACCCAGGTTGTGGGCCAGATCCCCAGTGGGGGGCATGCAGGAGGTAGCCAATCAATGTTTCCCTCTCTCTCTCCCTCTCCCTCTCTCTGTAAAAACCAATAAAGAAAAAAAATTTATTTTGAGACAGCATAGAGAACTTAGGATGTAAACTAGATATTAAATGATTATAGAGAATAATTATTCATTTTGTTAGTTGAAGTAATTGCAGAATAGTTCAAAAAGAAAAACATGTATTGGTTATGGATGCATACTGAATTATTTAGGATAAAAATGTATGATAGCTTATATTTTTCTACAAACATTCCAATAACAAGGAAAATAACTGATGAAACATAATTGAAAAATTTCAGTAATTTTTCATGCCAAATAAAGGGACTCATGTGGATTCATTATACTATTGTTTCTGTTTATGTGTGTTCAGTTTTCCACAATCTAAGTGACAGTAGAGTTATTAATAGATGTTTCTTACAAACAACAGAACCCAAAATATCTGTTCAAGCCATAAATAGTATGCCAGACCATGGGAGGGATTGGGACATACATGCTGTTTGTTCTGAGGTGGGATTACAAGTATGTTAAGGCAAACTTTCTCATAATGGAGCCAACAGGCGAAGAACATCAACAAAAAGTTAAGTGTTTTAACTCCTGAGGCCAGGAAAAGGGTTCAACAGAGAAACCAAGAGAGAACCAACCAAACAGAGTGGGAGATGGGCAGATTGGGGTGAAACTGAATGAACTCGGTTGGAGAGATTCACAGCAGAAGAAGCTTGTGAGTAAAAGGGTTAATGTTAGGCCTGGCCTGAGAAACTAACTCTGGACCCTGAGGGATGGTGTATCCAGTATCTCCTTCTATGAATCCCTGCATTGGGTTGAAAATTGAGGCTACTTCTCTGAGTGAAAATGGCCCATGTGGCTCAGATCCTGGTGGCAATAGAGGGATGTTCCACTCTTATTGACAGGATTTCTTTTTAAGTCTACCACATTTATTATTCTAAATATTTACACTTGATTGTTCATTTACTTGCCCTTAGGTATAATGAGTCTGTGCTACTACAATCATGTAGGTATTTGATAAACAGACTGAAAAGTTTGGCTCTAGAATTTCAAACGGTATGTTTCTTAGCACAATGTCCCTAATGCTAATTAACAAAGCAGTTGCCCCAGATTCATGTGGAACCCCGAGGAGTCCGAACCATCCAGTCATATTCCTCCTTATAGACTGAACATACCTGATGTGCACACTCACCACAAGCTATAATGTTTAGTTGAGAATGAAACACATGTACCAATAGTAATAGCCCACTGGGCTTACTGAGCATTTACTGTTTCCCAGATACTGGCCAACAATTTGAAGGTGTGTCTCATTTTACTCTTCTACACTAAATGCTTAGTAGATTCTGAATGGGTCTGGGTATGTTTCCAGCTTGGGGAACTTTTAGCCTTTGGAGGCTAATTCACTTCATTTACCGCTACAGACCCAATATCCCCTCCCTGCATCTGTACACAGTCTTCTGGTGGGTGTAGCTTTTTAGAAGGAACTGTTTTCTTATTTTCCCAAAAATAAGAAAATATGCTTAATACTGTTTCTCCTATTCTTTCTTCCAGCTAACAGATGTTTACCAGCTCTCCATATATACCCAGGCATGCAAAGATTCGGAAGGTAGGATCCTGGTTATGGAACTCCCACACTAGCAGGCATCTCTTCATCTGAGCATACCACTGACCCTCTCTCCTGTGTAGGCCTGGTTCTGGACTCTGCGCTCTCTGCGCTCACACACACTTTCACTTCATAACCTTTGCTTCCCCCTAGTGGCAGGCCTGAAAAATATAAATCACTGCTTCAGGAGTTACACTTGTAAAACAATTTTTTTCTTTGCTTTACTTTGCTTTTATTTTTTTTTAAATGACAGCAAGATTAAACCTTATTTGAAAGTATCAATATATGATATCATGAGCTTTAAGATTGGATATGTAATTTTTTTTTAAATGTTTTTATTGATTTTAGAGAGGGAGGAAGAAATATGGAGGGAAACATTCATCAGCTGCCTCCTGCACGCCCCCTACTGTGGTTTGAGCCCACAACCCAGGAATGTGCTCTGACCTGGAATCAATCCCACAGCCTCTCCATGCATAGGAAGACTGAGCCACACTGGCTAGGGCTGACTATGTAATTCCAACAAGCACAATCACATCACTTGCTTGTTAAGTAGACATGCAAATTTAGTGACCTGAGAATTCAGTTTATAAGACTTGGCTTTATAATTTGACAAACCTTGCTTTAAATCAAATATTGCTGGTTAGATCTTGTCTCCTTTCCTGTATGTTTTGCACTGGGTGCTCTGGCCATTGAAGCCTGAAATGCTCTCCCACTGCACAGACTCTCCTTCCTTCCTTTTAAAATCCAGCGTACCAATTACACCACAAAGACTTCCTCATCCCCAGGCAGGCCTGGCCTTCTGCATTCCCAGAGTCTTGCTCATGCCTCATCACTGTCCTCATCTGCTCATTTATTTCTCTCTTCCAACCCCCACCCCCTCAAAGGCAGGGGTTCTTGTCTGCTTCCCTCCAGAGCTCTAGCACGTATTGGGTGCCCAGCACTGTCAGA